CTCTATAGGTGAAAGATCTGGACTGCAGGCTGGCCATTTCAGTACCCGGATCCTTCTCCTATGTAGCCATGATGTTGTGATTGCTGCAGAATGTGGTCTGGCATTATCGTGTTGAAAAATGCAGGGTCTTCCCTGAAAGAGATGACGTCTAGATGGGAGCATATGTTGTTCTAGAACCTGAACATAGTTCTCTGCATTAATGGTGCCTTTCCAGACATGCAAGCTGCCCATGCCACAAGCGCTCATGCAACCCCATACCATCAGTGATGCAGGCTTCTGAACGGAGCGTTGATAACAACTTGGGCTATCCTTGTCCTCTCTGGTCCGGATGACATGGCGTCCCAGTGTTCCATAAAGAACTTCAAATCGTGACTCATCTGACCATAGAACAGTCTTCCATTTTGCCACACTCCATTTTAAATTACCCCTGGCCCAGTGCAAACATCTGAGCTTGTGGAACTTGCTTAGAAATGGCTTCCTCTTTGCACTGTAGAGTTTCAGCTGGCAACGGCGGATGGCACGGTGGATTGTGTTCACTGACAATGCTTTCTGGAAGTATTCCTGAGCCCATTCTGTTATTTCCTTGACAGTGGCATTCCTGTTTGAGGTGCAGTGACGTTTAAGAGCCCGGAGATCACGAGCATCCAGTAGAGTTTTACGGCCTTGACCCTTACGCACAGCGATTGTTCCAGATTCTCTTAATCTTTTGAAGATGTTCTGCACGGTTGATGATGATAACTTAAAAGTCTTTGCTATTTTACACTGGGTAACACCATTCTGGTATTGCTGCACTATCTTTCTGCGCAACAATGGTGGAATTGGTGATCCTCTTACCATCTTGGCTTCTGAGAGACACTGACACTCTGAGAAGCTCTTTTTATACCCAATCATGTTGTCAATTGACCTAATTAGTGTTAATTGGTCTTCCAGCTGTTCGTTATATGCTCAATTTCCTTTTTCCAGCCACTTATTGCTACTTGGCCCAACTTTTTTGAGATTTGTTGACACTGTGAAATTTTGAATCAACATATTTTTCCTTTAAAATGTTACATTTACTCAGATTAAACCTTTGATCTGTCATCTATGTTATATTATGAATAAAATATTGACATTTGCCATCTCCACATCATTGCATTCAGTTTTTATTCACGATTTGTTTAGTGTCCCAACTTTTTTGGAATCCGGTTTGTAAACCAAAAATCATTTTCTTTCCACTTCCTGTTTGTGCTTTACTTATTGTTGATCTATCACTTAAAATCCAAGAAATACTATGTTTGTGCTTCTACTGTGACAAAATGTAAAAATGTTAGAATTATGAATACTTTTCAGTACTGTGTTGTTGTCCCCCATCGCACAGCGAAGAGGGGGAAGTGGAAATACTCTTCGACCGTCTGTGCATGTTGTGAGCATGATAACTTGAAAGATAAGTGAGGTACCATCTTCCATTTTGATGTGTGGCAACATCTTGGCATAAGAAAGATCCCTTTCTAAAACTGGTTTGCCATGTGAAAATCCAAGATGGCCACCTCAATATGTCTCTCTGTTTTGTGAGCTGGATAACTTCAGAAATAAGCAACGTGCCAAAGTCCGGTGTATGGTTGTGTCTTGGTGTAAAAACAAAAAAGGTCATTATCAAAAATGTCAAAATTCAAGATGGCCACCACCACATATAAACAATTTTCTCAAATGATATGGGTGTCCTGAGGGGTGGCCAAGGCCACCGTTTGCCACCCCCTGGCTCCACAATGGCACCAGGTCATGAATAAAATTGCTCCCTCCACTTTCCACCAAAACATTAAGGTTTCCTGTCATTCTCTGTTCGATTCCAGGGCAGATAAAGTTTCATCTTGAACATTACAAACATTCACTGTTCAAATCCCTCAACAGGGGACATCTGTGTACGGCTTGTTTAATCTATCAATGACTTTGTCTAAATAATAATTAAATATTTGAAGTAAAGCTGAATGAAATCTTAAGGGAGGAAGAATGGGTGGATTTCACCACAGCTCGTTATTTTACAGGTCAGCTGTATGTGATGATGTCACCCCAGGAAGTTTTGACAGGATCCAGTCAGAGGACAATCGCACCTCGGACTCAACCATACATATCGTAATTACTTCCAAATTAAATCCACTTCTGGCAGAGTTTTATTTAGTTTGAAAACAAACAAAAAATGTAACTACAACAAATATTTTCTGTCATTGAAGTTTGAGGAAATGTCTTCCCATTGATGTTTTGTAGAAAGCAGGACGTTCCTCGAGGTTCCAGGGATGAGAAACGCAGAGCTCAGCACAATGAAGGTTAGTGCTCATATCCAGCACTAAAATTTGTTTCTGGAAAACTTAACTCGTTCCTAGCCTGTTGTCAGACGTGAAAAATCAGGTACTTTTCATGTTTTTTTTTACAGTGGCGAGAACAAGTATTTGATACACTGTTGATTTTTCAGGTTTTCCCACTTGCAAAGCTTGTAGATGACTGTAATTTTTATCATAGGTACTCTTCAACTGTGAGTGATGGAATCTAAAACAAAAATCCAGAAAAATACAATGTATGCTTTTTAAATAATTAATTTCCATTTTATTGTGTGAAATAAGTATTTGATACACCAGAAAAATGAAACTTAATATTTGGTACAGAAACCTTTGTTTGCAATTACAGAGATCAGACGTTTCCTGTAGTTCTTGACCAGGTTTGCACACACTGCAGCAGGGATTTTGGCCCACTCCTCCATACAGATCTCCTCCAGAGCCTTCAGGTTTCGGGGCTGTCGCTGGGCCACACGGACTTTAAGCTCCCTCCAAAGATTTTCTATGGGATTCAGGTTTGGAGACTGGCTAGGCCACTCCAGGACCTTAAGATGTTTCCTACGGAGCCACTCTTTAGTTGCCCTGGCTGTGTTTTGGGTCGTTATCATGCTGGAAGAACCAGCCACGACCCATCTTCAGTGCTCTTACTGAGGGAAGGAGGTTGTTGGCCAAAATCTCACGATACATGGCCCCATCCATCCTTCCCACAATATGGTGCAGTCGTCCTGTCCCCTTTGCAGAAAAGCATCCCCAAAGAATGATGTTTCCACCGCCATGCTTCACGGTTGGGATGGTGTTCTTGGGGTTGTACTCATCATTCTTCTTCCTCCAAACATGACGAGTGGAGTTTAAACCAAAAAGTTCTATTTTTGTCTCATCAGACCACATGACCTTCTCCCATTCCTCCTCTGGATAATTCAGATGGTCATTTGCAAACTTCAGACGGGCTTTGACATGCGTTGGCTTGAGGAAGGGCACCTTGCGTGCACTGCAGGATTTTAATCCTTGACGGCGTAGAGTGTTACTGATTGTTTTCTTTGAGACTGTGGTCCCAGCTCTATTCAGGTCATTGACCAGGTCCTGCCGTGTAGTTCTGGGCTCATTCCTCACCTTCCTCAAGATCAATGATGCTTCACGAGGTGAGATCTTGCATGGCGCCCCAGACCGAGGGAGATTTTCCGTTATTTTGTATTTCTTCCATTTTCTAATAATTGCACCAACTGTTGTTGCCTTCTCACCAAGCTGCTTGCCTATTGTCCTGTAGCCCATCCCAGCCTTGTGCAGGTCTACAATTTTATCCCTGATGTCCTTACACAGCTCTCTGGTCTTGGGCATTGTGGAGATGCTGGAGTCTGATTGATTGATTGATTGATTGATTGAGGGGGAGTGGTGGCGCAGAGGTTAGAGAGGTGGGCTTGTGATCCAAAGATCGCCGGTTCACGCCCCGGCCCCGACAACATCAAAATTGTGGGTGGGGTAGGTGAAACACCCACACTTGCCCCCACCCTCATTCGCCCCACTCTGGGCCCATGAGCAAGGCCCTTAACCCCCACCATGTGCTCCCTAAACAGGTCTCTCTTGAAAATGAGTTCTCGTGGCTCAATGAGACTAACCTGTATAAATAAAGGCTAAATGAAAAAAAAAAAAAAAAAGATTGAGTGTGTGGACAGGTGTCTTTTATACAGGTCACGAGTCCAAACAGGTGCAGTTAATACAGGTAATGAGTGGAGAACAGGAGGGCTTCTTAAAGAAGAACTAACATGTCTGTGAGAGCCAAAATTCTTACTGGTTGATAGATGATCAAATACTTATTTCACACAATAAAATGGAAATTAATTATTTAAAAATCATACATTGTATTTTTATGGATTTTTGTTTTAGATTCCATCACTCACAGTTGAAGAGTACCTATGATAAAAATTACAGTCATCTACAAGCTTTGCAAGTGGGAAAACCTGAAAAATCATTAGTGTATCAAATACTTGTTCTCCCCACTGTATTAGTACTAACCTTCATTTAACCTGGCAAATTCTGTTGACATTTTACAGTAGGGCAAAAAAGTATTTAGTCAGCCACTGATTGTGCAAGTTCTCCTACTTAGAAAGATGAGAGAGGTCTGTATTTTTCATCATAGGTTCAACTATGAGACAAAATGAGGAAAAAACATCCAGGAAATCACGTTGCAGGATTTTAAAATAATTTATTTGTAAATTATGGAGGAAAATAAGTATTTGATCAATGACGAACAAGATTTCTGGCTCTCACAGACTTGTAACTGCTTTAAGAAGCTCTTCTGTCCTCCACTGGTTACCTGTATTAATGGACCAGTTTGACCTTGTTATCTGTATAAAAGACACCTGTCCACAGCCTCAAACACTCAAGAGTCCAAACTCAACCATGGCCAAGACCAAAGAGCTCTCGAAAGGCACCAGGAAGAAAACTGTAGACCTGCACCAGGCTGGGAAGAGTGAATCTAGAATAGACAAGCAGGATGGTGCGAATAAATCAACTGTGGGAGCAATTGTAAGAAAATGGAAGACATGCAAGACCATTGATAATCTGCCTCGATCTGGGGCCCCATGCAAGATCTCATCCCCTGGGGTCAAAATGAGCATGAGGATGGTGCTCAAAAATCCCAGAGCTACACGGAGGGACCTGATGAATAACCTGCAGAGAGCTGGGACCAAAGTAACAAAGGCTACACACTACGCAGAGGGACTCAAATGCTGCAGTGCCAGGCGTGTCCCCATGCTTAATAATAATATAATAATAATAATCATTTTATTTAAAAAGCGCCTTTCAGGACACCCAAGGACACTTTACAGTAAGAAACATATCAGAAAAATTGTGTAAAAACAAACAACAAGCACAGTGCAAAGATCAACAGGAATAAATTGAAATATAAAATACATAAATCTTTTTTTTTTTTTTTTAATTTACCCTTTATTTATACAAGCTGGTTTCATTGACTCACGAGAACTCATTTGCAAGAAAGACCTGTTTAGGGAGCAAATGGTGGGGTTAAGGGCCTTGCTCAGGGGCCCAGGGTGGGGCGAATGAGGGTGGAGGCAGGTTTGGGTGTTTCACCTTCTCCACCCACATTTTGATGTTGACGGTGCCAGGAGTTGAACCTGCGACTTTCTGATCACAGGCCCATCTTCTAACCTCTGCGCCACCACTCCCCTAATATATATATATATAAATATAAAATACATACAGAATATAAAATACATAAAGAATATAAAATACATACAGAATATAAAATACATAAAGAATATAAAATACATACAGAAAATAAAATGCATAAAGAATATAAAATACATACAGAATATAAAATACATACAGAATATAAAATACATACAGAATATAAAATACATACAGAATATAAAATACATAGAGCAAAGTTAAGGATAAGCGAGTCTAAAGAGATGTGTTTTCAGAGCAGTCTTGAATAGAGAAAGATAGGTGGTGTTTCTTAAGTCAGGGGGTAGAGAGTTCCAGGGATGAGGGGCAGAGCAGGTGA